TGTCCGGACTTGTCTGAGTATGTCTGTGAGATGTTTGCTCTTCAGGACACATAGGAGAAGTGGGAGCCTCCTAACCTTAACCCTAACCCTAACCCCTAACCCTAACCCTAACCATTAGAGGCAACTTAATGACCAACGGCCAAGCAGGCCACAGAGGTCAAAGGTCAAGCAGGACCGTAACCCTAATCTTGGGATTAAAAAATACCTATTAATATGTTTATTAAAGCACAAATATGTGAATAAACATAATTAATATGGATTAAAAGCACAAACGGTGCAGAAAGGGTTAACATTTCAAAAACTAAATAGAGCAGAAAATAACTTAAATATAAGTAAATTCACTCTAATTATTGTCTGAGGGTATAAAAAGGGAGAAAAGTTGGTAGGGCTTTCATTTCCACTCAGAAGCTTGAAGAGAGAACATCTTTAGAATTACCAGCCAGCATCTTTTGTTTTTCATTCAAGAGAGAGTTTTTTTGTTGAGTGAGGTGTGCCAGACCTGAAGAAGACCCACAAGGGGTCGAAACGTTGTCGTGGGCACACATATTTGATTGTACATAGTTTATTTAGAGAAAAAAAGTTTAAAAAATAACAAAAAAATCTAAAAACATTTAAAAACTAGATTAAAACTTAAAAAACATTTAAAAATATTTAAAACCATTTAAAAACAGTTGGAAATACATTTTATTTTAATTTTTATTAAAACAATCAGCATTTTGTTTTAAGAAAAGTTTAAATTTGAAGTTAAGTTTCCTTTGAAGTTAAGTTTCCTTTCCATATGAAGTTAAGTTTCCTTTCCCTTTAACCCTAACCCTAAAAAGAGCACAAAATAAAATTGGAAAATTAAGAAATTCATTGGTATTTTTCACCAGACACTATTAAAAGGGAGAAGTAGGCAGGGTTTATTCATTTCTATTCAGATGCTTGGAGAGACAACATCTCAGCTATTTATCAGCCAACAGCTTTTTGTTTTTCTTATTTCAACCAGCAGCTTTTTGTTTGTCAAAACATTGTCTTTGGCACACAGTTTTATTTGTAAATAGTTCATCTCTATTATTTGTTTTTCTAAAGATGGAATTTGATGACATTGCCACAGAAAACAGTCAGGCCGTCATTGACGCAGCCCTGCCTTTCAATTACGATGTTGAGCGCTTCCTCAGGACTGAGGAAGAGTTCTACATGCCAGTCCACGCTGCCTTCCACCCAGATCCAACCTCCCTGCATCTCTCTTGGGATATTGATGGGGTAATTTTAGAGGTAACCACATTTGCCGCTTTAAAGGCACCCATGCCCTACATTTACTTACCAACTTCTCACCACAGCTTTCCAGCTAAGGCACAGTGGCCTTTTTTAAAAAAACATCTTCCCCTCAGGGAGATGTCAGCTGAGGTGATGAAAGAGTGGAGGCGGGTGTATGGGGTCAACCTGGGCACAGCCGAAGGGGGCTGGGTCATGATCCTTTCCCTTGTCCCAGCTGACAAGGTTATTCCCAGCAACATACTCATATCGGAGGCGGCTGCTAAAAACCTGACCGAGGATGTGGCAGCAGACGTAGCCAGGGCAGTGGTCAGCCAACTTATAAATCTTGGTCCGATGGAGATGACACGCTTGTCAATCCAAAAAAATAACATATTTGAACTTGCAAAGTTCAGGCTCTTTCGGGATGACCAGTCAATGTTCCTGGCTTTAATAGACACAGCCATTGACTCCCTTGAGCTGCCAAATGGGGTGGCTGTTCTGAGGACAGTGGGACAGCTTGGTGGGCAGGAGTCAAAGCCCATCATGCTCCTGGACATCCTCTCCTCCATGGACCACATCAGGTCCTGTACTGTTCATGCAGCATGTTCCATCCGGCATGTTGACCCAGATGTGGACCTGATGTGGTCCAGATGGGGGATTAATAAGCTGGCGGGTTCAAGGGGAAATGTGTTCAGCAACCTGTCCATCCACGAGGCGGCTAACTACCAATCAAATTTGGACGGGAGGCCCATGGATGTAAACCAAAAACTGTGGTCTTTGTTCAAAGTTGGGAATGTTAGTCCGACACTGAACTTCCTCCAACTTTATTGTGACTGCCCACACAGACCCCAGTTCCCGTTTTACAAGCACCCCATTAGTGGAGTTATAGCCTGCTGTGGACTTCTCCACAAAAACTCGACAAAGGCTATGGACAAAAGGGCAAGGGAATACCTTCAGCACTTTAGGGACCTGAGTGTTAAAGGTATTTTCCACCTCCCAGCTCGCGTGGAAGGGGTTCTGCTCTTCACCCAGGACATCCCTCACACTCTGTCGAGCTTCACCTTGATGGAGGAGAAGGCCCTCTTGGATCTGCTCAGCCAAGAGGCCATGCTCCTTCCATTCAAGTCAGTGGAGGGAGATGGCATTCGGAACCTCCATTTTGCGGTGGTGGACCACATTGTGGACAGGTTGGGAGAGCTGTTGACCACATCGGCTCATGGGGGGGCTATGAGGAGAGTTGGGAGGCCTTCCAGCTCGAACT